CTGGAGATTTTACAGTATCCTTCCCATGCACCAAGCCATGCCCACAGAACCGGTAGTAAAAAAAAAAAAAATGAATCCCACCACTGGTGTACAGGAAGTCCTTGACTTATAGCAGTTTGTTCAGTGACCATTCAAAATTACAACATCATTGAAAAAAAGTGACATGACCATTTTTTCACACTTATAACTGTTGCAGCATCACCATGATTTACCTTCTGACAAGAAAAGTCAACAGAGAGGACAGATTAACTTAACAACCATCTTATTATAACAACTGCTGTGATTCACTTAACCAATGTGGCAAGAAAAATCGTAACATGGGGCAAAACTCATTTAACAAATTTCTCACTTAGCAACATAAATTTTGGGCTCAATTAATTATGATCATAAGTCGAGGACTTCCTGCATTCTGTGGCCCCATACACATATTGCCTTCAAAGGAAGACCCTGCAATACTGCTGATGTTATCTCTCACTCAGACTAAATCTAGTCTGAATTTATTTCTCTCATTAATTCCCACTAAGTTTATATGCATCCAAGTCTCCTGGATTGGCATAATCATTGTATATGATCCTTGCTGACTCCTCTTCCATGGATGTCCTTCATTTCAGTTCCATTTTAATGGCACACTTGACTGAAACATTATTTGCTGTTCTCTACTGCTGATCTATAATGCTTGTGCATTGCTGCTCTACTCATTAGAACTCTTAATTTTCTTCACTCTTCTCTTGCCCGAATCCCTTGTTTTTCTTCTCATACCACACCTTGTTTGCTGCCATGATAGTAAGAACTAGCAACTAAAGGCAATGGATTTGATAATAGCAGTGGTATACTCTACTGAATGTCACTTGTCCTCTCTATGAAGGAATTTCCTCTGAGATTCCAGAAAACACCTGACAATAATTTGCAACAATTGTAAGTTAGATGAGAGCCAGTTTCTTACAGTAGTTAAAGCACCAGGCAAGAAACCAGGAGTCCATGATATGATTATTTTGTGTGGTTACTTTAAATATTAACTTTATGAAACGTAGTAAATAAAATTAACACAAGTTGTTGAAAGCGCTATGAAATTAGTCCTAAATTTTAGCTGCCCCAAGAGCAAATATGTAAGCTGGTTTAGTGTGATAGTTAAGGCATCAGGCTAGAAACTGGGAAACCATGTATTTTAGTCTCAATTTAGGTACCAAGCCAACTGGGTGACCTTGGGCCAGTCACTTTCTCTCAACCCTAGGAAGCAGACAATGGCAAGCCACTTCTGAAAAACCTTTCCAGAAAACTGCAGGGACTAATCAAGGCAGTCTCTGAGAATCAGACACGATTGAACAGGGGAAAAAAAAAACCAAGATATTTTTTTGGAAAAAAAAATTGGCTGTCGCTTGTGCAGAAAAGATAGCTAGCTACAGACACAAATGAAACATTTGGGAAGTGCCCTGTCTTCTCAAAGATACAGGAAATGCCAGGCATTCATTCTGTTTTAACTCAAGTCTCACATCTTCTTCCTTTATCTCAAAAGATAATTCCTCCAAGTTAGCAATCATTAAACACACTACCAATGTAATAAATTCCTCTATCATTATAAGGCTTCTATTGTGGGTAGGAAATGAGCACCTTCAGTTCCTGCAGGTATTGTTTGACTCCAATCCCTATCAGCCAAAGTGTATGTACACTATTCGGCCTCATCCAACTAGTCTTTCCAAACCCATTGTGCTAGATAGTGAGAGACTGAGATTCTTGCACTCACTCAGAATCTAAGGTGCCAGTTTCTTAATTGGTGAAATTGCCTTATTACAATCAGAATCACTAATATTCAATAAAAAAAATTATGGATAATAGAGCATGATAGGGAGGTAAGAAACAGAGCGAAAATTACACATTCCCTCCTCCCCAGAAAAATATTCATACACTATACCCTGAAGCTCTTTTTTTTCCTTCATTTTTAACTACCCATTTGCTGGGAAATGAACTTCTTTCCATATCCATTCAATTCAAACAACTTCATGACCAGGAAATTCACATAAAAATTTTAATAGTTAAAATCTTGTCCTTTTTTTTTCTCTCATAAGAAAAGAGGGTAGGAGTGGGGGAGACTGCATTGGCAATATTTTAAATAAAAATATACAGCCAGTTTTGTACAGTGGTTAAGGCACTAGGTTAGAAATGGACAGATTATGAGATCTTGTGCTTTAGGCAAAACGCCAGCTGGCAACCTTGAGCCAGTCACTCTCTCTCTGCCCTAGGAAGTAATGGCAAATCTCTTCTGAAATCTTGCCAAGAAAACCGCAAGGACTTGTCCAGACTCTTGCTAAAGTCAACACTGATTGGAAGGTGCACAATAAACAAACCAACAAACATATAATGTGAACTTCTCTGCAGAACTATGCCATTTGGGGTGATATATCCATCACCTCATGATCCCTTCCATTGTAACTCACATATAAAGGGGTTTTCGGGGATTATAAGGATCTGGAGCATGTGGAAAATGGGAATTGATGGTTTTCAGTAAGCAAGTCAATGCAACTTGACAAGAAACATGCAAATTGCTACATCATACTATAACCTTTATAGCAAACTTCCACACATCTGGATTTCTTTCAGATATGTAGACCTTCAGTTCCTGTAATCTATTAGTTAGCATTGTGTCTCTTGGACAATTTTAGAAATTGAAATTCAACAAAATATGGACTACCATCGGTTTGGGGTAAGTTCCTCTAAAAAGTGTTTTTCAGCTAATAATACATTTTGGGTTCCATCTATCTCTCAAGAATGCATGACTTTATCTGGATAAGCATGAATTTAAAAAGTGTAGCTCTTAAGAACTTACTTGGAATGGCCTCTTGTACCCAGCCGCCTAGTGGTGAGGAGAGGAAATTTCTGGCGAATTGTCTATAGAAAAAGTGAAATTGAAACTGGTAAATTCAAAATGATTTTATTTTTGTTTTCTTACAATATCTGTTCTAATTGGCCCTTCTATAAGTAATTAATTATGTTAAATTCATTTTAATGATCAGTGGCAAAAGAGTAATAAACTTATGAAGTAGAAATTGCAACAAAATATGATCATGCTCCCATCAAAGGTATGACACCCAATATTATAGAGCAAATGGAATAGCATCCCCTTGGAATAATATAACCCAACTAGATAAACTATTCCAAGGAGATTTTATTCCATTTGCTCTGTAATATTAATAGTACATGGATACCATCAAAGCTTATCATGGTATTAAACAGAAATCCTTCTCTGCAATTCCCTTCCTAAAAAATCATTGATCCTACTGAGTCAATTTTTAATTTCCCACAAAATTCTTTTAAAATTCAATTTTATTGAAATTTGGCTTTATTAAGATGTATTCACATTGAATTATTGTGTTGTAAACTTCTATTGGAAGACTGGGGTCTTGAAAAGAAGTAAATGATGGAATGGATGAAAATAGAATGGTGCTTAGAAACTTGCTTAATATTAGAATTCAAGCAACATGCCTGTAGAGATATGGGGTTGTTTTGTTTTGTTTTGTTTTTTGCACCAAAGGGTGGGTGGACGGACGGATAGACAGAAATAGCTTTTTGAATTATACTCCTTTCATTCTACAGTACAATGCTATTGTAGAGGTGAAGGATAGTGACCAGTCATGTGGATCAGAATTCAATTGATGAAAAATTTAATAAGAGAACACATCTATATTATAGTTTCATATACAAGCTCTGTAGCTCCACCCAAAGAATCTTGGAATACAGTTTGATTTGGGTGGAAATGTCCTTTGATAAAACTGCAAAAGGAATGACTATCAGTCTACATGAAACATGTGCTATTGTTATCACAGAGATTTTCAGTGAGATTTCAGGGATTTTTCCCCCCTATAGATATTTCTTGCCTGAACTAGCAATTGTCGCTATTATGTCATTCGAATGCAAAATCTACACACCTAAAAATGTACCGCTCAGTTTTCCAAATGCTCTCTTTTTTTTTCTATTACACGAAGAACAAGGGGTTAAATAAGTTTGCCCAACTGATACAAGTGAGGCTTATAGCTCTTTTAGTATAATTGATGAAACTACCAGAGTTGGAAGGGACCTTAAAGGAGACCCTATACCATTCCAGACAAGTGGCTGTCAAGTCTCTTCTTAAAAGCCTGAAATGATGGAGCACCCGCAACTTCTGAAGACAAGCCCTTCACACATTTTCATATACACATTCATACCCCATCTATAAAACAATTGCATTTCAATTAGTAACTTTGTGGGTGGGACTGTTCATTTGGCAAATCAATTTAATAGCTAATTGAGAGAAGCAACTCTGACATTAAATGGAAATGCGATTATGATCAAGCCTCCCACCTTGGTTTATCTAACCTGATACAGTGTAAAGCCTGGCTTTGAAATGTACTTGCACAGGGAGCATTTGAAGATGAAACAATAGTCTCCACCTCAACAGATATCATAACCCAGCAATCAACAGTAAAGCAAATACAGAGACAGGCAACGAAGAGAAAAAAGATAATCCTGCTATTTTCAAAGCTAGAAGAGAGGTTTTTTTTTAATGTTTATAATCAACTGTATTCTCTTGGTTCTGAGTCATTTAATATCATAGAGGGATGTGAACCCCAAATTTCATTAAACTAATGTGTTTCGGTTTTTTAAGGCAATTGGAAGAGATTGTGGATGTTTTAAAAAGACTGATCTCTGAAGCTGTCTTGGTATTTAGTTTCACCAGCTCCTAGTAATTTGGATTTAATTTGGAAAGGCCACCTCTCATGTTGATTAAATGATTTTGGCTTTTAAGTAGAGTAGGTGTTGGGGTGTGTGGGAGGAGAATATCTACAGTCAGCACTCTTTCCTCACAAAAGTTGCATTACTTTCAACTTTGCCAAGCTAATGGTTTTCTTTCCAATATCCTACATTCCGTAAAGCAGTGTTTCTCAAGGGTAGCGATTTGAAGATGTGCCTGGAGAAATCTGGGAGCTGAAGTCATTTTCAAGTTGCTAAGGTTGAGAAACACTGCCTTAGAGTGACCTGCAAATCTCTTACTTCCAGATTAGAAAATAAAAAGAGCCACAAATATCCCCCCCAGCAGCAGGATTTAAACTACTCTTAAGATGCATCAGTTGCAGGTTTTCTCAACCCTCCTGGTTTTGCAGAACAAGTCAGAGATGTTGATTATATAAATTAAGGGAAGGTAGTGGAAATGTTCTTCTAATATAATATTAAATAACGCAAGAAGATCAAGTGGGTTAATTACCTTCCCAAATGTTGCAGCACAAGCAGGCTCAAGTTTCTCCTTTCTACAGAAGTCCAGATAGTGTGTATAAAGGATACATCGGGGCAAACAAACTCCTTCACAGACAATGTAATTTTCTTCTAACCTATAGATGAGAAGCAAGCCAAGGATTTTAAAAATGATTCCTATAGTTTTGCCATATTTTTTCACTGTTACTACCAAGCTTATAATATTTTAGAGAGCTTTTTGCCTTCAAAGTATAAAATATTTTAATTTTCCCCCAGTACCCATTTGTCCATTCCATTCCATTCATTCTTTAAATTTCTATAGCTACCTATCTCATTCTAATTGACTGAGCAGTGAACAATATCACAATTAAAACCATAAAAAGCCCCCAAAAACCTATTCTCTAGTAAGTAAAGATGTGGTCTTTTGAAATTCTTTGCAGGTCCCATTGCAAATGGTAATGTTGACTTACTAATATATATATAATTAATTGAAATAAAGAAAAGCTGTTGCTTGGTCATGTTGCGTGAAATAATTCATCCTTTACTTTGATTGGGATTGGTAACATTATACATGCATACAGAAATGTTTCTTTGACATTGTCACTTGCTGTTCCCAGGATGGCAGTAGGAAAATGATGTAATAAATCCACAGGATATTGTTTTGGGCTGAATATCAGGATCAGAGTTAAAACTTGGAGAAAAAAATAGACTGGAATTTCAGTACATCTATAAAAGTAATTATTTGGTGGACATAAAGTGGATACTTGATATACGGTAGTTTTTTATTGTTATTAAACATGAGCTTCAGATGAATTAAAGCTACAATCATGTGGCTAAATAGATATATTAGCATTAGAACAACCACATTAGCATTCAGCTGTGGCTGGCAATTAATTTTTCCAATTGGCTTTGATAAGTGCGAAGAATTTATGAGTCAACATCTTAATTGCTAATTCCTGCAAATGGGCGGCAACTAGAAAGAGGCAGGTAGAAAGATTAGAATTGGGCTCAGTTTGGTTTACTATGTTATATATACTATCTATTAGATCAACTTTTACAGAATGTTTGTATATATTTCCTAAATATATATCCTTGTTAAGTACTTCATTATCAGGGATTACTACTGTTATGTTATATTTATATCCTGCCTTTCTTCTGTAAGCCCAAGTAAACTGGGAGCTCCCTTCCCATCATGACAACAGCAATAGGACAGACCTGGAGTCACCAAGTGACCTACAGGATTGAGTGATAACTTGAACCTGGATATCTTCTATTCCAATCTTATACTTTAGTCACAAGTGTTCACTGGCAGAAAAAAAAGGCAATCCTGATGATTCAATGGCTGGTACAAGGTACTTTCCCCAATCCTATAATGAAAGAGGTTTATCATTGCTTTCTGCAATATTTTTCCCACTTCCCAATCAAGTCTACAGCCCTAGGGTTTTGTGGCAGCCTTCCATCCAAATGTCAACCAGCTAAACCTGATTCTATTTAGCCTTTTTTGAACTTAGCCAAGGTACAATGTTAAAAATGGATGATTACAATATAATTGCCTAGGATTTTATTAAAGGCCATAAGCAATTGTAGACAAAACATTACATATAACTTTTTGGACCACTCTTACAGAATTTTGCAATTTTTATTTTCATCTATTCTATTCTATTCTATTCTATTCTATTCTATTCTATTCTATTCTATTCTATT